TACGAGCTTACCTCTACCTCTATGCATAGACTTGCTTTTCTAACTATGCTTAATTTGCAGAAAATGCGGAAAATTTGAAGTCATGTCTCAAAAGAATACAACACACCAAGGACATTAAGAAAACTGCTCGATGCCTTATTGTAGCGAAAGAACATCAGGAAGAACAGAGGTGAGCTTACTAAGGAGCGAGCACGCGCTCGAACGAGGCCCATTAAAGTTCGATCATCTTAAAAGGTTCCAAAAAGACGACTCTTACTAGAATGCTTGGTAGTAGATTCGATATCAGTGTGCAGAGGTCAGTTAGAAACCAGTAAAGTTTAGAAAGAGCTCATCATTTAGTTGAAACCATAAAGTTGGCCATTTGATTTCCCAATTTTATAAAAGAAAACGTCTTATCACAAATGGTCATGCCAACGTTTGACCAACAGGCTACAGCTTTTGCTTTGATTACTTGTCTATCATCTGGATAGCATGTGAAGCTGATATTGAAAAAATTTAAGAAATCTACAAATTTGCTTAGCTTACAAAATTCCTATTTAGTTATTTTTGTTACCCTCCAAGTCTTCTCTGTTAAAAGCCTTAAAATTAGATTATTGACAAATACTCAGACTCAGTAGGATGCATTTGAAATGGATACATGGACAGGCCAAGTTTGACTCAGGAAGGAGAAGAGCCAGGCGTGAAGTATGCGATCCGACTGGTTGTAATATTAATACGAATAAGTTTAGTAGAACAATAACACGATTGTATCGAATTTGGCAGTAGAATAACTCCAACAAAGCACATAGTTATTCTTTTTGCACCTCTTTGAGACAACTTTTCATTTCAGCGAAAGACAGGAACCACCTGCGTTTGTTATCGAAAAGGAGCCGCAGCAGATTAGAAGACCATGGTTGGCAGGAGTGACGCGTCTGAGCCTTCTTCGACTGAAGAATGCGGCTAAGCGTCGGAGGGAGATGATGGAACAGACTGGAGAGCTGAGACCGAAACGCAGCCCACATCGACTGGTTGTTTCCTCAGTTCTCAAATCGGACAGCGATTTCGTTGAGGTTACCTCATTCTTGCAATTCCATCATGGTTGGTAGCCTGTAGACGGCCAATTTCAGGTAAAACAGCAGCAAACAGCCCCACCTTTAGTGGAGCCCGCGAACAGTCCAGCTCATCGTCTATCGAAATTGTTTGTCTCGTTATTCTCCAAAACACCAACGTCAGAGGTCTCTACACGATGGTCAACCACGTACAAGAAAATGTTGGAATTGAAGAAAAAGTTGGATGAGAATGAAAAATTGCCTGGTAAAGATGTGTATGACAGGAAGATCTACGACATAGTCGTTGACGATGACACCTCTTCTGAAGGCGGTCTTGACGAGGTAAGCAATCAAGCTATGTCTCACTTCCGCTTCCTTTTCCCGACCACATTTCGAAACGAAAAAGTCATTCATCATATTTTAGCCATACATCCCACCGTTCTTGAAGCACGTTGTGGACATTGTGAAGTCGTTTAGTGGAGGTGGCAACGTCCGAGTTCTCAGTCCCCGATTTGCACCTCTTTTACC